ATCAAAATCGGATAACTAATAAGAAAGTTATGAATTTCTGAAAAATTATGTAAAACTGAACAATGAGAATAAAATGCATGAAGCTTCCAGTCCAGAACATAAGTGTGCAAATATATTTGGGGAGGGTGGGGTCAATGATAGCCTATCCCAGCCCGAACAAAATATTGTGTGGGGGGGGGGGGGCTCATGATAACCGAGCCCGGCCAAAATATTGGGGGGTGGGGAATCAATGATATCTGAGCCCCTCAAAAACATCGGGGGCTCCGTCATGCTATCCGAGCCCCACCAAAAACAATTGGGGGCTGATGATATCTGAGCCCAACCAAAATATGGGGGGGGGGGGTGCTCAATGATATCCGAGATCCACTAAATATATTTCTGGGGGATGAATGATATGCGAGATCCGATGTCTGAGCCCCCCCCCCCCTCCCCAAATAAATATTTAAAAAATGTTTATATTTGGATGGTAAGTCTGTAGATTATAGGTATACATGAGTTTCATGCCTAGAATATAATGATTGGGGAGGAGGGGGTTAATGATATCCGAGCCCCGCAATAAGTATTGGGGCGGCTCAATGATACCTGAGCCCCACTTAAAATATTGTGGGCTTAATTGTATCTGAGCCCCTAAGGACTCAATTATATCTAAGCTCCACCACAAAATTGGGGGGGGGGGGGGGGGGTCAATGATATATATAAGCCCCGCCAAAAATATTGGGGGGGGGGGGGGCTCAATGATATCTGAGCCCCCTCCTAAGATTTTTTTTCGGGGGGGGGGGGCTGTGCCCCCCTGGTTCCTAAGCCTATGCTATATTACATGTTAGTATACCCGGTATCATATTTCAGTATACCGTATATCAATATTCATGTTAGTATCAGTAATGTATATTAGTATACCTTCTATCAATCTTTATTTTGTTAGCATACCGTGTATTAATATCATTGACAGGTATCTTTACTGGAGCCGACATGACGGGATAGATCGGAAACGATTAAATGGAATGGAAGGAACGGATGAGGTCCTGTCTATGCCAAGCTTCTCCAAGATGTTCGGACTTATGATTAACTCTGCTGGTAATATTTAATTCTTGCATGTTTTATAACATTTCTACATGCTACTTTATTGCATAATCAACCCCCTAATTTTCCTTTCTCTCACACTATCTTCTCTCCTCTTTCTTTATCTTCTTCTCTCTCTTCTCTCTCTCTCTCTCTCTCTCTCTCTCTCTCTCTCTCCCTCTATCTCTCATTCACTCTCTCTCTCTCTCCCGCTCTTTCTCTCACTCACTTCCTCTCTCTCTTTCTTTCTCTCTCCTCTCCTTCCTTTTACTCTTCCTCTAGTTCATCATCATAATAATAACTCCGGTTTCTTATCAAGCTCGTTACCACTTACAGCCGACCAAAGCGCTTACAGTATTATTATTATTGTTATTATTATTATCTATTTGACCAATCGGAAAATATAATAACAATCAGATACATAGAAATATCATAATATATGCAAACAACTTTAGGAAAGTGGAGAGGAGAGAGAGAGAGAAGGATACAATCTGCTGGTCAGGGGTGACAAATTGAAATTGCTGTTACTCGAAAGCATGTCACACCCACAGTCTGCATCCTGGAAAATCAAGAGTAAACAAAATAAGAATTCACAATATGAGATAATAACTATATATCAGGATAAAAAATAATAAATATTACCCAAGGGCCCAGGCCACTGGATCAATTACTATTTCGCACAGTTTCTGTGAACATTCTCCACTCCCTGAGGATCGCTTCCCACTTAGCCTTATGGATGCACTCTTGCTAATCCACTCACATTGACCTTCGCATCGTATCTCATTCACTTTGCGAACGACGGTATTTTCGTTTTGCGCGTCAAAGAACTCGTCAATCATTGACGCAGGTCTGCGTGGGACAATTTAATGACGCACCATGTGCAACGAACATTAAAATGAACATAGAATTTGATCAGCAGATTCATTACTTTTTTGTATTGCTCTATTAAACTTTTCTATCTTTAAAGGTACTAGACTATTCTTCTGCGATGAAAACTCGAAAGAAGCTCTGTATTTTGACATCGGGTCAAGACGTAATCCCGTCGAACTGATCGGATCCGATGAAGGTTACGTCCTTCGTGACGTGAGCATGGATGGCAACGGCGTTCTCTATTGGCTTCGATCTGGCGAAGCACGTATTCTTGTGATGGACGACTATGAACGCAGCACAGATTTCCACATTGAAGCGAAAAATCAATTCGATGACCCACAACGCATCCATATCGCCCGCATCAAACCATGAAATGGCCGCAGGCAGTGCCTATAATGCCCATGGCTCACTGGCGTCATTTCCATTTCGTTCTTAAGCGGCAAGTCCGCTGCGTGTATTTTAATAGATATGACGTTAAGCGTAATACGCTAAACAGTTCTGTGTCTTATAGTTATCCTAGGTGTGGGGAATTGGAGACCCTTATGCTAGGAGTCCACTGGGCCAGCGCCAGTTGGTGCCAGTACGCGCCAAAGATTATGTGATTGGCGCGTAGTGGCTCGATGTGGCGCCGAATTAATGTCCGCTCGGCATGTGTCGCCAAGTGGAATAAACTGGGTGCCATTATGGCGTGTGCCAAATGCCACCCGGCTTGCTCCAAAATGTTGCGCCAGTTTGCGCCAGTTCGCGCCATTACACGGCCATTTGATTCCAAAATTCACTCTGTTGGCGCCATTCGCGCCAATAGACGGCTACTTTGCGCCACTTGGTGATTAGTTTGTGCCAAAGGTCGCCAAATTGGTTTGAACTTGCCGCCGCTTGGCGCTACTTGCCGACTATAAATACCGGCCATCGGCTACCTGGTTCACACCCTCCTCAGCTGCTGTATGAACATCTCTACTAATGCCACCCGGCTTGCTCCAAAATGTTGCGCCAGTTTGCGCCATTTCGCGCCATTACATTCCAGTGGAAGCAATAGGCGGATTGTTTGCGCCAAAGGGCGATATGTTCTGGCCATTTGCTGCCACTTGGCGAACACGCCACTAGGCACCTTATTGGCAACACTAGGCGCCACAGTAAATTGCATTGGCGCAAACTGGCACCAACTGGCGCTGGCCCAGTGGACCCCTAGCATCAAGCACATTTGCATAATTTACATAAACATGAAAAATGTTACACATACAGAAAGTTTTGTATTCTCTTCAGTAACTTCTTCTCTTTATTAATTTGATAACAAAGTTGTGGTCATGATGTAACTGATTAATAAGATAACAATGATTAATGACGTTATCACCAAAGGTCTCTCATTACATTACCTACATGTGTAGGTAACAAGGGACAGTTACAAATCAAGACATTTTAAATACAATTTCAATGAAATGGGATTGTTATAGTTAGTTCAAACACTTTTTAAAAGAGATACATGCAGCCAATAAACTTACTGTAATTTTGAAACGATTTTAAAACAATGTGGCCCAAAATATTTCTGTAGTTTTTTGTTTACAGTAATAAAGGTGCTTTGAATTATGTTTAAATACTTTCAGAATAATGTTTTGGCAATGTGACTTTTACATTGATCAAACTCACAGCTTAGAAACAACTTCTTAAAATGAAATGCATTCAAATTAGAATGGTGACATGAACAGCCAAATTGTATAGACTGTCTACTATTAATAGTTACTTAAAATATTAAATTTGTTTAGTTGTCTGTTGTTGTTATTTTTGTTATATATATATATATATATATATATATATATATATATATATATTTTTTTTTTTTTTTTTTTTTTTTTTTTGGGGGGGGGGGTATGTCACGTTAATTCATGTATTGAACAGTGTGAATATTGTGCCCTGCCATTTATGTGTAATAACTATTAGTATATTAAAGTCAAATTGCAAAAGGACAATCGCTAAAGAAATAGAAAGTACTTACACAATATATACATGCATGCACTAAAATAAAAGTCACATTTGTATAGCGCTCAACGTTTCTAAGCGATAGACATTGTAATTATTTTAAAATCCTCTCGCATTCTCTGTGTTTGAAGACAACTATTGATAAAAGAATACATCATTTGGGTTTTCTGTTGAACGCAGAAAACCCAAATTTTGTATTTTTCATCAATACTTAACTTCAAACACATTTGTTTGAAAATCCTTGAAAAGAAATGTGTCTTAAATTTCATCCTCTTTCACATTATTTTGCCATCAACATGTTAGGGCTCCTGCCGCTCCCAAAACTTTAACGGGGCTTTAATTTATATTCCATGTCAGTTTATTTGAACTCTGAACTGAAACTATGTATTATGGGTAAAAAGCGATATATATAAATAAAATTCTTAGATATTGTAAATAGTAAAAATCTAGAGAGTGCGTAGGTCTATATATTAATTGCCCGAAGTATGCTTGTTATGTTATTATTTTCATTAGATTCTATTTAGCATTAAGTGTTTTCACATAATAATGCTCTTTCTTCTGCAAAATACAAATACATATAAATACTGCAATGTGATAACGTCCGCCTTTTGCATTTCTTTGATTTCCAGTATAGTCTTGCAAACGTTCAACGGTGATCTAGCTTGAATAGAAATATGAGTTTTTTTTTACCTCAATTTTAGACATTCATATTAAATCAATGTTGATATTCTCAGCTGCAAAATTCCATATATATGGGACATCAGCAAAAATATGTAAAATATATGATTTTAAAATTAACTAATTAAGCATTTGGCCCTTGATTACTCCATATATATATATTATATTTAATACATTGATGATTTAAGTTAAATCTATATTTGTTGTGGCAGATATAAACAATCGTTTAATTGACATGTTTAAAAGTTTGATTCATATTTATTTTCATACACAAAACTCTTCTAGACTTCAAGACTTCAAAAGAGCAATTAATAATATGTTCAATATAATTGTGTATTTTGACAGTGGTATTCATGATGCACAATTAAAGATTTTCACTTCATACACAACAAAAAATCACACACAAACACAATAGAAACTTGTCTTCAAAGAGTATTCACTTTTTAATACTGTTAATATTCATTACAACCTTGTTACTCGATACCCATATGTTGTATAATCATTGCATAGCATAACTGCATTTATACATGTAAAATATGCAAAGATTCACAAGGGCGAGCCCAATATTTCATGCTACGTGATTATTTACTAATTTAAGTAGATCAGAAAAGGGGACAATGTTATAAAATCTCACATATTGTGCTATTAGATGTCTGAGTGAATTTATGCCCTAGGAGGGCTATCAATTAAATATATGGAAGCAAAAATAAGTAATTTTATTAAACTTTCTAAAACTTGAACTTTCCCCTTAAAATTCGTTTCTGTTTCATCACTTTGAAATATGGTAAACAGGCATCAATATAACACCAGGGTGGTCCTCAAACAAAATGTTAAGCATGTCAAATTGGACGTGTATACAGAGTATGAACTGACGTGTATGCGAAGCTCAAAGTCCCTTGTGACCAGACTCAACAGCTTGCACAAAGGCTCTAGGGTTCTTAGATACACTTTGGTGCAATCTGAGCCATTTTAAAAAGCATTGTCAAACACATTTTATAACTAATATTTCATAGATAATTGTTGTTGAGAACGAATATCAACCTGTAGCTGATTTTCAAATCGTGTTCAATAACAACTTCAAACCCGTCTCTGCTACATGTTTAAACACCTTGTAGACCATCGTGTTATCTCAGAATTTGAGCATGATATATAAATACAAAAAGAAATATTATATATATATTTCCATATTCAAGATCTGTATCAAAATGAAGATTAATTTGTTCCATGATTATCCTTACTATTCTAATTTCCTCACACAGAGACTACACCTAATATGCAACAGGACTGTTTTAATTGTCACCATGATATTTATTAAGTGGCAAAAGTTTAGGTTTTTTACGGACAAGAATGTTGCTGCAATCGTTTATTTTTGTACATTTTATACATAAACAATGTACATGATGAAATAATATCCCAAATTTTGTGACAAGAAGGTTCTTTATAATCCTTCCTTCAAACCCATGAAATCTCATTAGCCCCCGGCCTGATTCTCTCTCCCTATATACTTATCACATACACACACACACACACACACATGTTCACACTCATACCCCTTCTCCTTTAACCTATCTTTTATGTTATCTTTTATCATTCAAATATCTTTTCTCCTCCAAATACTCTCTTTCTTCATATCTCCATCTGTTTCTGAGTAAGAAGCTTAAATATGCTCATCTTTTCACTTGAAATGATTTTATATATAAAACGTTGTATAAATGGGTAATTAATAGTGGTCACAATAGTACCTTAACATTCAAAATCAGGAAATTATTTCAAAATAACAATTACCCTGCACAAGATTTTCTTACCGTGTCATGAGAACTGTACCCTGAATTCGAATCACATTGACTACTCATCCTGAACTAATAAGTGCCCTCTTCATATTATGAAATCTTCCTGAAGTGTATATTTAGTAAAATTACCAAAAGAATCTTTGACAAAGTTTACATTCAATTGATATCTTACAGGGCCAATATATTCAGTTCCATACTTGAGTCAGAAATACTAGTCACATGACTAGCCACACAAATACTTGATACTACACACTTTTGGGGCTTACACAAAATACTGTGAAAAAATAAACAGCTGCATCTTTTGGCTAAGTATTTTACCTTCAGTTACAATAAGTCACAGGCATATAGCAGCAGAATTGAGTCAATTATCTGAAAGCCTTGAAGTGAGTCCACAGAACTTTTAATCAGTACAATACCTGACCTGGCTTAAGCGGAGAACACAGATCAATTATATAACATCACATTACCATACATTGTCACCATTAAGTCAGCTTGCTAAAGTATAAAACATTGATTAATGTATGATCTCTCTAAAAATATATTACATGAAAATAAAGGAAATGACAATGATCTAGCCATTAAAGAAATATGAAGAACAGATACAAATATATGATCAGATAGACAGATAAAATTATTGCTTTCAAGTACTGTTCCATTGAAGTTGAAAATATGTGAAATTTTCAGATGATATCTATGAACAAAGTTTGAGTTTTTGACAAAGCATGCACAATGAACGAAAAATATGTTTTACATACATGTAACTACATTAGGCAAATTCCAAACAGTGAGCCACAAAATCAAACAGCCTGTTTGCGGAAAAAATTAAAGTGACATTTCTGATTGCTTCTCCCAAACTCATACAGGTTTGCAAGGTCAAGAGTAAGCTTCTTGCTGACCAAGTGAATGGTAGTATTGTCCGAGAATTTGACACAAACTGATTAGAATACACTATACATTTACATATTTTTCTAACAAATACTAGTGTTTATTCAATTTAGTTGAGAGTAAGTATTTTGTTATAACTCTGTAGACTTTTCATGGATGAGAAACTACAATTAAAATAGGCAATTTTTCATAATGTGAGCAATTTAATTCATACGTCCTTGTATAGTGATTCGATATGAATTATTTCATTCACCTCTTGAAAACATTGGTGTCTCAATAGTCAGAATGTAAATTGCATATATATATGTATATATTGCATGTTAATCCTACCTAGCAACAACTAATCCATGCAATTTGCACATAATTTTTTGAAACCAGCAACCTTGACAAATTGACATTATGACCTCACATTTCGGTACTCTTTGATTTAGGCAATTTACAGAGCCGTAAGCATTAAATCTGGTTACATTATGAAAATGGCCTTTCGAAAAAAATAACCTCTCCTCTAAAGACAAAGCAATTTAAGTAGTTCAAAGGGATGCAGGTTGCGTAGTATAATGGAAAAGGAAATCTTGAAAATGGGATGTGAGGTAGATAGAAGACTGGTGATATCATCTCTTATCTTTATGTAGACCTACAGCATGTAAAAGAAAGGTGAGAAAAGGGATATAGGGATGGGTGAAGTGCAGTAATTATACAAAGTCTGAAGACAATATGAGATGAGCTTAATGTAAAAAAAGAAAAGAATAAAACACAGCAAAAAGCATGATGAAATTTGCAATGACTGTTATTTTTCCACGAGCTACTATGAATAATATTTCCTTTCCTTTCCTTCTCTTGCTCTATTATCATGCCTTCCCTATCCTCCCCCCCCAAACAAAACAAAAAAAGTAGATAGGTAATGAATAAATAAACAAATAAATACATATATACAAACATAAGTAAATTAATAAATAAATAGTAATACATGTAGTAACAATATTTTGTGAAATCTATAAAATATGACTAACATCAGTGGTGTGTGAAGATGCAGTTCCTAGACTCACATTGCCAATGGCCATGTGAGGGAGACATTTAACATATCATTGCCTTTAACAAAAAAAGTAATACATTGAGAAGACTGTTAGCCATATGTATGTATGTATGTATTGCCTGTGTACAGTCAAATACTAGTGCATATAGGTAATAGGTAAGACGGCAGGTGCATGACTTTGAGTGGTAAAAAAAGGAGAATATAGAGAGAGATTACCAAAAGCATTAACAAGTTAGAAGTGAATGAGTAAATGAGCTAATGAATCAATATAGCCAACCTAAAAAATAAACTGAAATTAGAAGAGGGCCATGATTTTTGTTGGTAGTTAGTCAAAATGCCTTGACTTCATGCTAGAACATAATATGTTTGAGCATCATACCACGTGGTAGGGACTTGGGAAAGTGAATTAATAAAGCTAACTCTCCATAAACATGCATGAACAATATTTCAATCAATAATATCAGCTTTAAAAAGGAGTTTGGTCCTCCACTCCCTCCCCTATAGGTGTTTTTTTTTTTTGAAGTTGAGAAGGCTGCATGCAAATGCTGATGTTTTTGACTATGGCATGTGCAATGTTTAGGACACCTACCCCCAAGGACATTTACCAAGCACAACTAACCTCTAGGAAAATTGTCTGAGTGGTAACTGGGACAATTCTCAAGGGGGTAGCTATCTGGGGATACTAGTTGTCCAGGGGTACTGTACTGGTTATGCAGGACTCAGGTGTGGTCGTTGTAGGCCTGCAGGGTTAGTAGAAGTTGTGCAGGGGAGTGTTTCACAAAGATCCTAAGCTGAACTTAACTCTAAGTTGGACTTAAACATTATGGAGAGCCATTTGTAGCCTTATAATAAAATATATTCAAAAGCAAAAATTCAAGTGTTTTAGACTTTTCATAAATTCCACATGAAGAACATGTAATATACTTGATAATAAAAAAATATAAATGATTTGAATCAAAATTTTATGCCTTTTAAAATAACTTTTACAAAATATTTTCAAAGATTCTAATAGTTTTCCATAACTGTTAGGTCTAACTTAGAGATAACTTCAACTTAGGATCTTTGTGAAACACCCCTCAGGGTGGTAGTAGTCTGAGGGTGGTAGTTGTCAAGGAACAATAGGTGACCAAGTTTGATAGCTGTCCATGGAGAGTAATCGTCCATGTGGTAATTGTCCAGGAAAAGTAGTTGTCCACAGGGTGGTGGTTATCCATCCTGTGACATTGTTGTGCATGGGTAGTAGTTGTCTGACAGTAGCTGTTTCCCAGGGGTAGTTGGCCTGGGGTGGTAGTAGTCCATGACTTTAGTTGTCCGGGGGTAATATTTATCTGGGGTAGTAGCTGTTCACAGATAGTATTTGAACAGCCATAGTAGTTGTCCAGGGGGAGGGGGTATTTATCCAGAAATGGTAGTTTTCCAGGAGTAGCAGTAGTCTGTGGGTAGTAGTTGTGCAGGGGAGTAATTTTCCTGTGGTTCATGGTTGCCAGCCATAGTTGTCCCGGCGAAGTAGTTATCTGGGGGTAATAGTTATCAAGTGATGGTATGAGTTTCCAAGGGGTACTAGTAGTGTGGGGTAGTAATTGTCCAGGTGTGCAAGGGTAGTCCAAGGATGGTAGCTTCGGGGGGAATGGTTTTACTGATAGCTGTGGCAATAAACATGCATAGCACCAAGAAGGCAGGTCACTTACAGGTCAAGAAACATGAAGAATGAGAAGCAGATTTCATCTTGGTAAGAAACTTCTCCTAGATGGATGCGAGTCATCACTGCTACTATATCATAAACCATAGTGAAGAAGAAGTCTGTCATTGACTGGTTTTGGGGTAGTTTGATAGTTTAGGGTTATTACTTTGAAAATAAAGGTTTGAACCCATAGACATGAATGGACATTTCAAGTGAGCACTTTAGTAATTTAACTGTAATGTTATAAATGAAAAATCCCCTATTTTGTCCGTATGAGCATATGTGACTTAATGGTTAGATGTACAGGTAGAACCACAACAGAGAAGAAATTGAACAAACAAATCCAACAAAAGACACTATAGTCCTTACACATGCATGCTCCCCCCGCAATCCAGAAAAAAAGCAAAAGAATTTGAATATCGCGAAATAGTGCAGACATAGAAATCTATAGCTAAAGGAGCAGCAATGGCTCCATTGACATTGAGTTTCATGAAATAATGCAGTGGCTAAACTAAACCAGAAAAACACCTTATGCATGTAAATAGGACACCAACCAAGCATTTATTTATTTTTGTGACAGATAACTACATTCATCTGCATGAATTTTCAGAAATGAAGGAGGCAGAATAAAACAAACAAAAACGAAAAGAAACACTAGGCCATTTTTGCAATGAAACCAAACTTAAAGGAAACCAAAACCTTCATACTAAGTTACTTTTATTGTAAAGTTTAAGATATTTGAAAAATATCAGTGAAAATTTGAACAAAATCGGGCAAGGAATAAGGAAGTAAGAGCTTTTTGAAATGACTAGTCACTAGAGGGTGGTATTCAATTTGATGACATCATCTGTGGACAACTCTCCATGCCTTTTGTACATCAAATTTCATGTTTTTCCTTCTTTCTTGTGATTGAGATAATGTACTCCCCTGAAAGCAAGATATAGAATGCAAAATGATATTCTACTTCACATGTTATGAAGTCGGATCAAGAACACAAATAAATACGAAGAAAACAAAACAATTGTGAAATTTTATGTACAAAAGGCATGGAGAGTTGTTCACAGATGATGTCATCAAATTGAATACCCCCCTCTAGTGACTAGTCATTTCAAAATGCTCTAATTTTCTTATTCCTTGCCCGATTTTGTTCAAATTTTCACTGATTTTATTCAAATCTTTTAAACTTTACAATAAAAGTAACTTAGTGTGAAGGTTTTGATTTCCTTTAATGCATACATCTTTGTGAAGTGCCTTCCTATAAACTATTTCATTCACTCGTTACAAATAATTGAATCTCAATAGTAAGAGTTTAAATTGCATACATTATTTGTTGCTAAGTAGGACAAACATGGCTTACCCTACCTAACATCACATGATATATTCAGTTTGCATTCTGATAGGTCAATGAAATAATTTGCATCAAGGCACTACAAAAAGACGTACTGGTATGCATTAAATTTTGTTGCATTACCAAAACGGTCTATTAATAATAATAATAATAATAATCTGTTTTTTTAAATAGCGCTCAATACACCGATCCAACGATGTGCCTACTTACTGGGATTTAGTTTTCTTTTCTTGCTCTTGTTCGTTTATTTTAAAGTGTGTGTAGAGGACGATCCCACCGAGCGTTAGAACGATGCCGCCGAGCTGATTCAGCGCTAGAGGATCTTGGAACAGGAAGTAACCCCCAAGGAGGGTCAGACAAAACTTTCCATGCCCCACCATATTGTAGCTGTAAGAAGAAGTCATTAAGAGAATTAAGGAAAATCAAATACAAACTAGACACTTTATTTCATTTTTTTTGTGGAACCCCTTTGATATCGGCTTTACATGTACATGTATGCGTATAAAAATATTTTAATGCGTTCCTAGTGGTTCAGACTTGTTAAAGTTCATAGCGCAAAATAATTGAATTGCGAGTGACACAACACTTAACTTTTGCCATTTTTGAAAGTTTCTTGCTTTAAAAATCACCATCCTTCACAAATCCTGAAAGATTTGTATTGCAAAATTTCCTGGTATTACAATAGTTGCCCAAACCAGGAGCATTTTAAAAGTACAGTATTGGATAAATGGCCCTAAAACATGTAGAAAGTATGTAGACTTCTGCACAGTGCACAATAAAGGATACGTTATTGGAGATGTATTTCCGATGATCCAATAGATAGAGAGGTTTACTGAGAAAGCCACACAGCACGATGCCAATACAAGAGCCTGTTTTGTGTAGAACAAACCAGAATAAAGAGAAAGAGAAAAACAGTAGTTTCATTATTCAAAAGTAGCATGCATAAATGTGAAATAGGTACAACATCTTTTTTTCTTTTTCTTAGTACTTACTTGAGCTGTGTCTACAACATTTCATGATTGAAATCTTTATAGTATAGTAAAGAGAATTTCCCAAAAGCGATTTATGTGCATTTACTTGAAAATTCTTGATAGGATCATAGTCTGGGACTCTGGGTATTTGTTTAAAGTCTGCACATGACTGTACAGTATGAATGTTTTGATTTGTTAAGAATTACACAAACAAGAATTCAACTGCAAATGGAATCTCAATGGCATAACTTTACAACAACCCACAATCCATAACATTGTTTTTTAAATACAGATTTAGAGACATTAGGGACTTTTAGATTTGCACAACGACAACTTGAATTGCTACGATCGACGTCCTTATAATGCACTGCCTTGAATGGACGTCACACGTATCAGTCCACGCAAATCTAAAAGTCCCTATTATGTCTTGGGTAACTCTTGGACTACAGTACAATTAAAGTTACCATTCCCAGTATATATAACTAAAGACTTAATATATTGCATTCATAAATATACAATGCATACATCATTGCATAATCAATACAGATCTGCAAAAGTGCAACTTACGTATACTTGTGGAGGCCAACTGCTAAACAAACCCCCTTCTCCTATGATAGGCTCGTGGAACGGGATGATAAAGAGGAGTAGGAATGCTGATAGAGGAGCTTGGTAGTAGAGCAGCTGCATTGAGTTCACCTGGAATTCAGTTTGCTTCCTCCCTACCCACTGAAGGAGGAGAGAAAAGGGGAAAATTGGTTAGAGCAAATCATGAATTCTGGCCACCATATATGCATTTTGACTGTCAATAACTTGATTGCTTAACATAATTGAGAATTGGTACCAGCATTAGGTTGGTGGTTTCAATCAGAAACGACCATGGTGGTTTTAATCAGAAACGACCACAATGTTTATAGTATGTACACTTACTTACGCGGTTTAAAGGCAGGCTGTAGAAGGGATTAGACCACACAGCGAGGTCACTGACAGGTGGCTATATCTCATTAACTCAGCTCTCAATTAACATAAGAAAAAGAGGATCATGGGGAACCAACAGGCACTGATTGGAGAAGTTTTCTATATAGAGGGAGCATGTAGCTACAAGTAGGAAAGTGTGTCTTTAACCAGAGATTGAAACCATGAGTTGGGTTAAATTCAGTTTGAGAATTGAGGCCACTGTGTCGATCAAGATATGCCTTTTCAGACCATACAATTACGATGACACTTGCAACTATCAGGAAGGTGTGCTGTTCTGAAATGTCACCCCCCCCCCCCATCCCTCTCCTACAATGCATGAAGTCTAACCGTAAACGGGATGGACCTCATACCTGCCGACGTCCTGAGAAGTATTGACTTTTCACACACATGTACAAAACAAATGGGAGAAAAATAATTTTGTTGTTCAAATACTTTCTTTTGAATGCAATGCTCCTAAATCACACTATTACCGTAAATGACCATAATAATTCAGTTCTGTAATTTCCAGCTGATTCACAGCTCAAAATCATGTAGAAAAACTGAAGAAACCGCTGCTGATTCTCCTCTGTCGTGTCTCGTTACGATTTATGACCGAATTTGTGTATGCGATGTTCCACAGAGATGTCAACTAAACAATTCCTAAACTATGTTGAAGATCTTGTTATCTTAAGGTTGGTATTCCATGCGTGCTTACTTACCACTTGGTACACTGATGTTACCAGAACTCCAGCGATCGCAAAAACTGTCCCTGTCACGTTGAACTTTACATCAAAGAAGGAATTCACAATGACTCCAACTGTTATAGGAATCTGGAGACAGGGGGGAAATGAAGAAGAAATATGACATACATTACATCTGCAAGAATCTGCAAGAATCTTCAGTATTGAAGGAGGCAGATTACCCATAAGAAGAAGAAGAAGAAGACATACACAATGATAGAAAAGAACTTTTTACCGTGGAATCAACTGTTTGCATAGAACATCAACTCATACAATTTGCAACTCTCCTAGTATAAAAAAAATAGTTATGTTATATTGAGAACTTTTAAATTTTTTTAATTCAGAATTAATATTATTGCATTAACTATTTAAAGTAATAGATCAGAACACACTCACCTTTTCCTGCACATATTATATAGACCTCTATGCACACAAAAAAAGAGATAGCTTTCTCATGCGAAAGATACATTGTTGCAATAATATTGCACTATCACCAATGTTCATTTATGTCAGTTTCAAGTAAAATTGATCTTTGTACCCTTTCTGTCTTTGCTTAGACCCTATAACAGGCGCGGATCCAGGATTTTCCAATAGGGGGGGCCGGAAATTCGAAATTCGCGCAGACCGTTATTTAAACTTACCACTCCTGACAAGGTCATATTAGAAGCACTGTACTTTAATAGTTTACTGGTACCTACAAACGGGCATAATTATTTTGGAAAGGGGACATGCTCACGTCACATCTCTTGTCCGATATCAACATTCCCCGTTTTCAAGTTATGCTCGCGCGCAATTTTTTATGACATTTCCATCAGTGGGGGCTGAAGCCTCTTGCCCCAATATCTATTTCCTGGTTTAATAATTTGGCGAGTGAGCGAAGCGAGAGAGCGGAAATTTGAGCTTATGTATGTTGTGAAAAGTGTGAATTGTCACCAAAATATACGAGATAAGATATAACAAATGCATATTGGTAATTTTTTAATTTTCGGGGAAAGAGAGGCTGCAACACCATCCCGCATCAACTGCAGGTGTTTTGAAATCAAATCAGACTCCCCCAAAAAGTATTAACCAAAACGCACAAATCCAGTTTCAAAAATCTAAAAAAATGTCAGCTTCAGAGGGGGGCACATCACCCCTCAGACTCCCTCTAAAAGTATTAACCGAATCGCACGAATCTAAGTAAAAAAAAAAATCAGCTTCAGAGCTAGAGAGGAACCCCCCCTCCCCACACACACACACACACACGCACACACACACACACACACACCCCCTGTGCGCGCAAGCGTGAAATTAACGCTGGCGCTATTGCGTAAGCAGGGGCGGCGGAGCTATTTCCAAAGTGGCAAGCACCAACAAAAAAGGGCACCTACAAAGCGAAATCTCAAAGCGAAAATATACATTTTTTAGACATTGGTATATACCCTTTCATTGTGATCCCATTATCAGGGACGATTTCAATATTTGTTTTTCTTTATATATCATCCAAGTTATTGCTTAAGCATCACACTTTTGGCTGAGTGTGATTGTCTGAATATTCATTTGCGAGCGAGCAAAGCGAGCAAGAAAAAAATGTAAGATCTGTGAGGTCGCAGAGTGAAAAATTACATCTTATAAAGAGGAAAAAACCAAATCATGATGGGGTTATAAGCATCACGGAAGACTGAAAAAACATTTGTTTTAAAGTGACATATAATTGTATCATCTATAAATGCGAGCGAGCGAGCAAGCTTTAGGGGAAATTACTCTTAGTCGCTTTAAATTAGGTGCAAGACTAATGATGAGCAGGTTAGGGGGGCACGTGTACAAGACTCCCGGCAACAGCAAATTATTTACACAATTTCTTGCTGTCTGCTGCCTCGAGATCACTGGAGCGAAGAAAGGTAACATACAGCAAGAATCCCTATTCAGTGAAGGATTTATCCCTTTTATTATTAATGACTCCCAACAAAGGCTCTCCCCCTGCAAAATTGGAGAGAGTTTTATGTAGTTTAAGCTTCTAAGAACCACGCCCGTGGACCTTTTATTATTTACACAAAGGTAAAAGTGTATAGCAAGAATCCCTATTCAGTGAAGGATTCATCCTTTTTATGCAGATGCTTCTTCTACCATTCTTGACCAGAAGTGCGTTTCAAACTCAATGATATGGGCATCATCCCATTGAATGTTGTGTCCAGTGTTACGGGTTTGTTTTGCTACTTGCTGCCTAATCTGAGGGCTCTGTTGTGCTCTTTAAAAAGAGGACAGAATAGGGGTGGCGCAATTTAAATATCAAGGAATGTATTAAAAGAGTTTATTTCTAACATGAAATGAAAGAGCTATTTGACTTTCAAGAGCGATAAAAACTCTAATCCATCCCTTGAAATTTAAATTGCACTGCCCCCATTCAGTGTGCCATTTTCAAAGAGCACAAAAAGGCTTCAGATTGAAGATTCTATCTCATAAAATTGTCTATAAGAGAGAAAGAGAGTTTATTTCAAGAGAAAAAATGAAATGAAAGGGCTATTTGACAAGAGCCCTTTCATTTCATTTTAGAAATAACCTCTCTTCCTCTCTTATAGACAATTTTCTCTCTTGAAAGTCAATAACCCTTTCATTTCAATTTAGAAATAACCTCTTTTTTTCTCCTAAAGACAATTTCTCTCTTGAAAAGGCTCTGCCAGACCCCTCAAGCTCTGCCATGTTGTATGGATCCATTAGAAAGCAAAATAAGCCCACTCAATAATTGATATATATTAAAACGTCATAGCGATTCATCCAAATAAGAAATCCACGTCAGAGGCATTTTGAAAGTTTTAAGAAAATTCTTTCAAATTCCAGGATATTGGGTGTTCTTTTTCAGGAAACTCTATTTAAACGAGTGGAAGCACTGGAGGTTCTCTTTTTTTTAAACTGTAACAATTCTCCTTGGATCAGATATAGACCAAAAACAAGCCTCATTATCTTCAGTATACAAGTGTCATTTCGGACCTTACAGCTTTCATAGAAATCGCTTCTGGACCGTCAAAGAAAAAGTTTGAGAACCCCTGGTCTACGCATTATACACATCAGGACCAACTTGACAACCCCCCCCCCCCCCCCACCCTGCGTACATGTATGCGCCTTCATGTGCATCCCTTCCTCCTTATTCCCTTATCCATCATTACCGTCACTACCATTTGAGTAGGGCCGGCCCCCTCCTTAATAACGACTCCCAAGCCATCAAGAATGACCCCATAATTTAAAGATTACCATTCTGCCGTTCTTTGGAGGGGCCGGGCGCGGCCTTTTCAGAAGTGTTTCTACACTAACCTTTTCATGCACTCCGGCTTAACATAAACAAGCATGCTAAGATTGCTTTAAAAAAAATCATAATTTCGACTCAGTTTCGCATAACCTAAAAATAAGAATACGGCCAGTCACCCCTCCCCCCCCCTCCCCTCAATGCATCCGCCTTCACGCACCCCCCTTCCCCTTGTCTTTCCCTTATTCGTCGTTACTGTCACTAATTTTTAGTGCCATTTCGCTGTCTTTCTTTCTCCCTGGCTCCTCTCTTCTTTTTCTTTCCTCTTTTTTGAACTCTCTCTCTTTTCTTTACTTTTTTGTTCTGTTTTCTTTTATCTTCTCCTTTTCCCCCCTTTTTTCCCTTCTTTTTTTCTTCCTCTTTTTTCCTTCTCAATTTTTTGCTTCGTCAATAGGGGGGCCGTTTCGGCCCACCCCTGGATCCGCCACTGCCTATAATATTATTCAATTGAAATATTAAAAAGGGCAATTTTTTTGACAAGAATGCAGTGAATTGCTTTTATTTCTCAACCATCTTCCCAATAATAATGCTTCCCTCTTGTGATTCAATTTCAGTGATTCAATCAACAGGGACAAAGTCAACAGAACGTCCCAATGAATTTTGTACTCACCAATGTCAGTTTTACTCTTGTTGAATAAGTTTTCTGATAAAGTATAGTCTGGATGAGTAGAATACAAGGTGTCGTCATCGACTTGGCTAACTGGTACGTGCCCACGGTGTTATTCTGTAAAGAAAGGTTCGTAAAGACCACAAATCCACAGAAAGTTAAGCTCAGTGGTAACACATTCATGATGGGGATGCTTTTCCTGTTGAACAACCCCAATCTCAGGCACGCAGCCAGGCCGAGACCCGTCATGAGAAAGTGAAGAAAAGTGAGAGTGATGTTTGGGAATCCATAATTCCGATACAGCCATTTGTTCAAGAAAACGATGAGGATCGACGAGCAGAGGTTGATGGCAAGTGAAATCAGGACGAGATTTTGGCTTGGCTTGCGAGAGCCCAACATTTTGAGGAGGAGTGCATACACCAGACTTTCCAAAGTTGATACGTGTACAGTTATGGGCTCTCAGCTCAGCTCCACGACGATTGTGCGCTTCAATGGTTTTCAACGCCGAAGTTTCGGCCAAACCAACTCCCGCGCGCGCGCTGTGTCGCTGCTTTGTACACGTGAAGTGGGATGGGCATGGATCATAGAGATATATACTTAATAATGGCATGGATCATTGTACTACAATCTCTATGGCATAAAAGCATTTCAAACGAAAATTTGTGTATGGTACGCGGAGTGTGAAATTAAATGAGACATTTTGTTTTGCTGCTTATTGTTAGATTTTCATTCATTTTGTTTTAGAGAGAGAGAGAGAGAAAGAACTGATTTCTACAATAATCTCAACAGTGTGACATGATGTGTAAAAAAAGGGATAAAAACCTGTCGCAAAATATTGACAAGTCTCAATTACCCAGTTTTGAACTCTTAGCATCAATATAACGTATTCACATTTAACATTTTACAATTGGCCATAAATTCATCTCACAACCAGGGAAATATGTCTTCTCCCTGTCAAAACTATACATTAATTTGCATTTTCTATGCAGCAGGGGCGGCGATTTCTTTTCATGACTGGGGGGGGGGGGGGATGCGAGGAAAAATTTGTATTCCGTTGGTATCACCAGTGGCAAAATGAGCAAAATCCTTTTAATTTTTTTGGAGGGGAGGGGGGCAGAAAAAAAAATTGCGTCACCACCACTCTTACGGGGGTCAAGGGCGGAGCCCCCGGAAGCTCAGGGGTTTTAGGCATTTTATTACGTTCAGATGAGCATATATTTTACACCTTATTAGTGAAACTGGCAGGTCACTAATTGTGGGGTTCAGGGGGCTGAGCCTCATGAAGCTCAAAGGCTTTACAGCCTTTAGGCGTTAAATACCGGCAGATGAGCATTCAGGGGCCATTGGTGGGGTCCAGAGCCCCCGGAAGCTAGGGGTTTTAGGCAGTTAATTACAGCCAGATGAACATATTTGATACCTTATTTGTGACACTGGAGGGACAATAGTTGGCGTGGGGTCCAAGGGCGGAGCCCCAAACATTTCAGGGGTTTAGGCATTAAATTACGGTCAGATAAGCATCCAGGGGCCCATCATATTATCTGACCGTAATTTAATGCCTAAAGGCTGTAAAGCCTCTGAGCTTCAGGGGTCCAGGGAGCAAAGTCTCCGCAAGCTCAGATGTTTTAGGTCTTTAATTAAGGTCAGATGAGCATATTTTGATTCCTTATTTGTGACACTGGCAGGCCACTATTCTTTCTTTCTTTCCATTATCTTTGACATACTTTTTTTTAAAGTGGGGGGGGGGGGGGGCTCGAGCCCAGGAGCCCTGCCGTTCCGTGGGCCTTGACATGTAGGCTTCTTAATAAGCATATGTTTTGCCTGACTGTAAATTTGGGAATTTTTCATTGTCCAACAAAAACGCAAAAAAACGTATAATTTACACAAAAGTGAAGAAACAAATCATCACGAAAAATTATGGCATTTCAGCAACATTTGTAAATCACGGGTATCGAGTTAGAAATAAAACAAGTTTGAGTTTTATATGGGGGAGGCAAATGCCCCCCCCCCCAATCAGTACGCTAGTGGGTATCACGGTGATACCAACGGAAAACGGTAAGCGGACACTTTTTTTTTTTTTTTGTCCCAAAGAAATCGCAACGACTCAACCGACCGCTGAATAAGCGGGGGGAGGGGGGGGGGGGGGGGGGGGGGGGGGGGGGGGGGGGGGGGATAAGAGGACACTTTTTTTTGGTCTCGAAATTTGACAATTTGACAATTTGCTCCGTTGGGGGGGGGGGTAAGGTCACCTTTCTTAGGTCAGTCATGGGGGGTAATTTTTTTTTTTTTTTTTTTTTTTTAAATAATTAAAATTAAAAAAAAAAAAAAAAAAAAAATCCAAAGGGGGGGGGGGGGGGTTTTAGGGATTTTTTAGGGGGGTTTACACACATAAAAATACCAAAGGGGGGGGGGGGTTTAACCCCCCCAAACACCCCCCTGCGTACGCGCCTGTTTACTTGTACATTCTAAAGGATATTGCGCGAGGAGCGTAGCGACCGAGCTAGAAGATTTTTGCATTTGTATTACTCTAAACGCTGCACTCTTGGGCCCTCCAGAGCCTAAAAGTGTGTTGCAGTCTCTAGTCAGTATTCGCTATACATTTCTTTATGCACTTTTTCAAATTTCAGGGGGGGGGACGATTCCCCCTAAAAAAATTGAGGGGGGACGTGTCCCCCCCCCCGTCCCCCGGGATCGCCGCCCCTGCTATGCATACCATTTCATATTTCAAGTAGACAATATGAATCTTAAAATCAAACGATTTTTCGATTGACGGTATTTTTGGGTAATCAATAAACAGAAAATTATTTTAAAAAATAAAAAATATTGTCATATATCTATATAAAATAATTAATCCGTCATTGTATTATACCTAGCCTAAGTGTTGACATGCCGGTAAAGGATAATTAGTCAAGTATCATAATAAATTCTGAGCATTGAAATTTTGAAATGCTAAAAGTTTGGCCAACGTAACTGTAAAGGAATGAATACATTTATCAACGTGAATAATGCGATGTTTTTGTTTTAAATATTTATAAATTTTTTTTTTTTTTTTTTTTGGGGGGGGGGCAGGCCCTCAAGACAACCATTTCGATTTGAGATGCAAATATCAAGAGATTACATTCGAGTGGGGAATGATTGATGTGCAAACGACCAAAAAAAAAGACACTTTGATGTAAATGTAATTTTTGTCATACAATTAAAAAAGGTCAAAAGTTACAAAAACTGAAGACCATCTCTCTACCCGAAAATGTGCATGGTGAGAGTTACCTGAGTAAAGCTTATATAAATGATATTTTCACTCCCACTTTCTCATCACTTTCTCCTGACTGGCCTTGGGCTGTTTGTCTGCTGAAGAATGTGTTGTATCTTTCATGAAAAAGTATTTTAGAAAACGCATTTCTGAAGAATGAAACGTTTCGAAAGTAACCTTCTCCGGCGCAGTATCACCCCCCCCCTCTCTCTCTCTCTCTCTCTCTCCCGACCTCTGTCTCTATATGTCTCTCTGTCTGTCTCTGTCTCTGCCTCTGTCTCTGTCTCTCTCTCTCTATGTCGGTCTGTCTCTGTCTGTCTTTCTCTCTCTATCTTTATCTCTCTTTTACTTTCTTTACCCCCCCCCCTCTCTCTCTCTCTGTGTGTCTCTTTCTCTGTCTCTCTATATGTCTGTCTGTCCCTGACTGTCTCTCTCTCTATCTCTCTCTCTCTGTGTCTCTGTCTCTCTCTCTCTCTCTCTCTGTCTCTCTATATGTCTGTCTGTCCCTGTCTCTCTCTCTCTCTCTCTCTCTCTACGATTGCCGGTTAACAGAATACAATACAACAATATTACAAGCGGTTCATAATTGTATTCACGATACCGCATACAATTATTACAATGCCCGTGACATACGGATGAGAACATTAAAAGAATGAAGATTTTTTTTTTGTCAAAAGCGAATCGTTTTATTGCATGCATCAATTTTGATTCAGTTGTCTTCAAGGTTTTCGACCAATATTACATTCTGAAAAATTGTCGGTTTCTTCCAGTTGTCATGACGACATATTGAAAGAATGTTTCCTGCAATTCGTGTCCCTGGGGGAAAAAGGGACGAAAATATGATTGCGTGACACCCTTTTTAATAACTGAAGTCACGTACACTGACAAAGAACCACGATGACAGCTAGAAGATCAAGAGTCAAGCAGAAGGCTTCTATAAGATTAATAATATTTATCGACTATGAAGTCTTCGTGAAGTAAGACTGTATATATTTGAAATACCCTAAGCATCATACCTTATTTCTCTCTCTAAGAGAGTAGTATATAAGTCGCATCTTTGACCCAACGGAAGATCATTGAGTCACATACAGAGTCCATAGTTTGTGACGGCAACTGTGTATAGATTTGTGAATGGTAAGTGTAAATATCAGAAGTTATCATTATCATCATTATTATTATCATTATCATTATGATCATTGTTATCATTATTATTATCATTATCTTTATTAGCATCATTGTTATCATTGTTCTTATCAATATTATTATTATTATTATTGTTGTTGTTATTTTGTTGTTTTTTATTATTATTATTATGTTGAGGCCGCCATCACGTTCAAGCTCTAGCTTAAAGATTTCCCCCAAAATGTGTTTGAAGACAAATGTTGATAACAAAATTTGGTTTTCTGTTGTACGCAGAAAACCAGCAATTTGTATTCTTTCATCAATATTCCTTTCAGAAATGTGTCTTAAATGACATTCTCTTTCAAATTATTTATGATACAATTTATGTGAAATTTTGCTATAAATTTGTTGGGGATTCCACACTTTTTAGAGGGGCTTTAAGATAGCGGTTTCCTGCATTTTTCAATTTTGAAATGATTTGTCAACTTTGTGTTTTTTGAAAGGTATAATGATATTATATAATTGATTAATGTTATGGTGTGATTATATAAGTATTTTGACTTTTGACTTTTAAAATATATATTTATTTGTACCTAGTTTTTATATTACTTTTATGTGGTGTATTAGAACAATTTGTGGCACATGGTCTTCCTCTGAAAATGAAATGCTAATTTACAACACTTGTCATCAGTGACAAATAACAGTTTTCGTTATAAGCTAGTATAAAATCCTTGCTTCTGATTGGATATCAGCAGAATTGTCACTGATTTTTGCAATTTGTCATTGAAAAAGGGCTCTGTGATGAAACGGGACCCATGTGTCTTCTTCTCTCGTCTTTTCCCTTTCTTTAATTTGCCTTTCTCTCTTTTTTTCTTAATTTTCATTTTATCGCCGATCGATGAGGGGAGGGGAGGGTGTGCACGTGCCCCTATATATGCAGCACCATCGTTAACAATATTATACTTGTATATATAATTAAAAATGTGTTTTCCCCCATCCTGCGCAGAATGAATCTTTATCCACGACCATGGCTTTGTATTTTCTCTACTTCATCGTGATAATAGGTACGTATCAGATTTGAATTATTAAAAAACTCCATTGTCGATCCATCACTCATTTCGAACCAAGTTTAATATCACAAGATATTGCTTTCATTTTGATTGCTCCAAACGTG